TAAGTAAAGTTCAAAACTTTGAATTGAACTTTCTATCTCTATTAAAGATTACTTCTTCTGATATGCTGTAATTAGCAATAATTATTCTGAAGAATGCATATACAAGTTCTTCTGCTATACTGCTTTCCTTATAAGAGAGAAAGTAAGTATACTTGCTTAGTTTACAAATTACTACTAGAATGCTATTATATTGCATCTTAGTTAAGAGTTTTTGTAAGAGAAATAGCTTGATAATAAAGTTTAGACTAATGAATTGCTAAACAGTTATAAATACTAGTAAGGAGTATAATAATTTATAAAGCTTGTATTTTTCTGCCTTATTCTTCTTGCAGCTATTGTATTATTATAGAATATTCTCAATTCTTTTTCTAAGATTTGATAAATTTTAGTATTTTTTAATACATTTATAAATTGCTCTAATTTCCTAATATTCATATACTAGTATGCTATATATATCTTTGATATATTTGTTTTGTTTGTTTGAAGTTATTAATTCTAAGTCTTTTTTCAAAGATTCAATTCTGAAAGCAGCATTCAGTTCTCTATATGCATTAACAAGATTTCCTAACTTGTTTTGAGCAAAGATATTCTATATATCCGAAGAATCTGCATCTTGATAATCTGATCTTCTGTTAAGAGTATCTGCTTATTCGTTTTCTAAGCTTTTGCAGTATATAATCTTAAAGTTGAATTATAAAAGGAATTCTGCTTATCTAACTTGTTATTTATTCAAAACTTTGATTATTATAAATATAATTAGATTTTTGTAATCTGAGTACATTATAATTGAATGCTGTATGCTAATGAGATAGTATTGCTATTCCTTAAAAGCTTTCATTATTGCTATAAGCTTCTAATTAGAGATTCTATAATTAATTTCTAGCTTATTTAGCTTCTTTGAAAAGTTGCTTATAATTCTTAAATATTCTTAATTATCTTGCTAATCAAGTTATTCTCCAAATGCATATTCTGATGCATTAGTTTCAATTTTAAAAAGCTTGTAAAGATCTACTTTATATAGAACTAGTTCTGAGATAATATGCTTAATAATCTTATTAAAGGCTTCTTATGCTTTAAAGATTTATTCGAAAGGCTATTCTTTCTTGATAAGATTTGTAAGAAAGTATATAATTCAGCTATAGTTCTTAATAAACTGTTTATAGAAATTAATATATCTAAGAAAAAACCTAATATCTCTAACATTTCTAGAAACTAGCTAATTTCTAACAGCTTCTATCTTGTTTTTCTGTAGCTTAATGCATCCTAGCTTAATTATAAATTCAAGATAATCAATCTTTTGTATATAAAAGTAACTCTTTGCAGATTTTACAAGGAGTTTTGCATCTTGAAGCATTTGCAATACTGTTTCCATATATTTCTTATATTCTTCAAGTATTCGAGAGTAGATAAGAATATTATTAAGATAGATAATAACGAACTGATTCAAATGCTTATATAAAATATAATTGATCATTTCCTAGAATAAAGCTGAAGCATTTGTTAAACCAAAGAGCATAACTAAATATTCGTAGTATTCATAGTATATTTTGAAAGCAGTTTTCCATTCTTCTTCTTTCTTTACTCTGATTAGATTATAAGCTTCTTTCAAGTTTAGAACTGTAAATTACTATACTCTTTGCAATCTATCTTATAATTCTTTAATAAGTAGCAACAGATATTGATTCTTAATTATAATATTATTAAATTGCTTATAATTAATATATAGCTTAAGCTTATTATTTTTCTTAAATATAAACAAGATAGGATATTCTATTGATAATTGCAATAATTATATATATTTTTTCTTAAGATTCTTATCGAAATACTTTCTAAATATCTCTAGCTATATCTTGTTTAATCTGTAAATAAGAAAGAATTTAAGCTATTTCTCTTTTTATAGCAGAATCTTGTGATTATATAAGCTATATTCTAGCAATTCTGTATTCAATTCTTTCTGGAATAGTTTCTTAAATTTATAATATTCTTGTAATATATTTGCAAGTATTAATTCTGATTTCTATACTGTTTCTGCTATCTGAAGAAATAGTAGATACTATTAAGCATGCTTCTTTTCTAATAGCGTTTTCAAGAATCTTAAGCATTCGCTCTAGGCTGAACTGAGCATTTAAGAGCTTAGTTTCGAGATTTTTCTTATATAGATTCACAATTCATATTCTGAAGCTTATTCTTATTGCTTCGGAGTAAACCAACTTGCTAAGAATCTTATTTCTATTGTTTTGCTAATCTGTTAGCGCTTTAGCACTATTTGGATTTGCTTATTACTAGATTCTTTTCCTTGAACTGCTAGCTCTGCTAATTTAAAGATATATAAGAAGTTATATAAAGCTTCTTTTCCTAAGTATTCTTTAACTACTAGCTTCAATTCTACATTATTAATTATAACTATTTCTCTGAATATAGCTTATTCTCATAAGATCTAGCTAGTAATTCAATCGATTCGAGAATTATACTTCTTAAGCTATGAAAGTTTCATAATTAGCTTATGCTGTACTATATCTATAATATCAAAGAAAGCTCTGATTATATATTCTTGAATCAAGATAGATAGATAATCAGTCTTCTTATTAATTATTTCTTAGTTATATGCAATAGATTATTCTTTTATAATACTAAGAGTATATAAGCATTTCTTCTATCTTTATTGTAATTATATCTAATTAATAATGTATAGGGATATAAAGTTTTTCTGAGCGCTACTATTCAATAGTATACTATATTTGTATTTTTGAATATATATATTAAACTTGATATAAGTATAATCTATTCTGAAAGCTTTATATAGAAACTATTCTAGTTTAATTATCTGTAATCCCTTTACAAGCAATTCTATTCTTTTAGATTTATTAAGAACTGCTTATTCTTCTAAGCTTACTTCACTGCTTCTTAAGCAAGCTTCTTAGCTTGCTTTTACTTATATTATTATTATTTCTAGTCTTTCTTCTATTAATACTAGTTGCAAATCTTATTATTAATATAAATTATATAAAATATCATTTTATACTGCTACCATTTTATTTTCTTATTTATATATTGTATAGAATAGTTATTTAGTAGTTCGATATATGCATTATAATGCTATCTATTAAGAATTTCTCTGAAGCGAAATTCTAATTCTTCAATAGCTTAAAGGATTTATTCTGATTCTCTAATAGAGAATTATTTATATTGCATTTTCTCCGAAAAATGCATTCTGCAGCTATAATAAGTATAGAAGATTCATACTAGTTCATAATATAGATTGTAAAGTAAGCTGATTTAAGAATTCTTATCTTCTTATATCTTAATATTTTGCAAGGAAATGCAGATAAAGAGCTTCTTTAGCTCTATTTCATAAATAAGATATTCAATTCATATTGTTTTCTTATTTCATCCAATGCTGAAAGGAAATCTTTCTTTAAGCTTATTAAGCATATTATTCGCAAAAAGCTTCTGCAAGCTGCTAGATTGTTTGCTTTAGCTTGATTCTTTTATTGCTTAAGAAGCATTTTCTATATTACCTAAATGTTTATACTAATAGCTAAAAGAATATCATTTCTTATTCATATTCCTAGTTATAATATTTAGTATAAGCAATAAAGAATATTAAAGAATATTATTGCTAAATCCTTCTTTCAACGCTTAGATACTCTATTTTACAATATCAGAATAGTTCGAATTACTACTCATAGAAATGCTAAGCATGCACTCTTGCTCTGCTATTATTATTTATCTGCAGCACTAAGGCTTCTGAAGAAATTATTCTGATTCTTCCTTACTTAAGAAATGTATTAAGCAGTTATTATTATAGCAGAATATTCAGCTAAGACTTTTGTAATCAATAGAATTCAATACTTGCTCTAAGAGAATGTTTTTGCTCAGTTGATTGGATTTCTATTATCAAGCAATATTCATCTAGCATTCTTTCTAAACTAATTGCTATTTATTTTTCCGAAATTAATAGCAGTTGCATGCTATATATTTTTGTTTATTGTAATTATAGCAAGTAATATTATTCTTTTTGCTATACTATTTGTTAGCTGTATTGAGTTTTATGGAATTAGTATGCATAATACTGCTCTAAGCTATACTGCTATATTGATTGCTATTCTTATTTTAGAGTTTCTTGCTTGTATTAGCTGGAAATCTTTAAGTCTAGCTTTCTTTCTTTTTGAACTTCTCTACTTATTATTCATATAGATAATTGTTAATGCGAATAGCTTAATTGGAAAATATTGCAAAGTTTTCTAGCTAATTCTGCTTGAAGATTTCATTTTTAATATTATTCTTGAATCTCTTATAATAATACTCTATAAGTATAATGAGTACTGCAGCAATCCGAAGATTCCTAAGTATACGAGGAGGTTTATGCTAATAAGAGCAGTGTTGAAGTATTAAGATCTTGAATACAGAACCGTACAAGTCTTAATAAGCGATGCAAGTATTCACTGCCTTTGGGGCTACTCAGTATAGAAGACTGAATACTTAGATTGACAACTGAAGAACTATCTGAAGGAAATCCATCTAATAGTAGGAAATGTGAACCTTCATATACTTGGTCCTTCAGTTCTTGCTTGCTGGTGATCGTTTCAGATTACCACTGATTATTCTGAATTACTACTGATCACTGAGCATCAGTAATCACGAGTAATTATCTTGTTGTCTGATTGGTTAGGTTTCCGCAACCCTAACTCTTGATTATGTAAGCTTTAGTCCTTGTGATGTTGAATTCTTTCCTGTCTTTCCGGACAGTTGTTTTAGATGTTCTGGCTAGTAATTTGCATATTGAATGGGTTATAACATTATCTCCCTCCTATTGATCGTTATTCCTAACGATCTTCCGTAAGTATCCTAGCAAGTCATTCGCATGCATAATCATGCCTTCCTAATTCGTCATGTCGAACAGAACTTTGAATTCCTGCATTAGCAAATCCTCTTCTGCTTCTGGTTCTTCTGTAGCTTTCTCAAAGCTGCACTTCCATCGTCTCGAGCGTTTTTCATACATCGAGTCTACTAGCTACAAGGTTATGCTGTATTTATCGTATCTGAAAGAAGGGGTGCGATGCAAAATGATTAATAGAATAAAGAGTTGTTCTCAGTGCACCAAGCAGAGTTGTTCATGTAATGCTGGCTGGGTTCTTATATCCTTTCGTGAGTTTTTCTTTCCTTTCTTTTTCTTTCTCTTTTTTTTTTTTTTGCTGATAGTATTATTTCAGTATTCTGTATTACTAATGAATTAGTTCGTTTGAATGATAGAGAGATGGAGAAGAAGGAATATCTGCTGAAATGCCAGCGAGAGTTAGCAGATGCTCAAGCTCGTCTTTCCGAATCCTTAGATTGTTTGTCTTGTTTGAAGAAGCAACAGCGCTTCCTTCAGGAAAAGGGGATAAAGCTGGTGAACGAGAGCTTGGAGAAGGAGGAGCGCGAGCGCGTAGCTGCTGAGGTGCAGGCTGTAGTTTCCGCAGAGCCCGCTGCTGTTCCTGTAAGTCCTTCCTCTGAAGGTTTCGACTGGAATTCCTTGAACGTGGGGAATGCAGTGGTGGATTGGTCGGGTTTCCTGGAGAGCGAGGTTTCTGAAGCCCCTGGACCTCGGTCCGGAGCGAAGAGGTCTTAGATGCTAGTTTTCCTTTTCCAATATTCAGCTACCTTTTCTTGAGCATTTTTAACATTTTTCTGCAGTTCTCAAGAATTTTCGCTTACTAAATAATCTTTCCATTTAACAAGATATTCCCTTGTATTGTCTATGCTTCTGTGCTTGAGAATCTTCTCTACTTCATACTCTGATTCATTATTTTCCACTTCTGCTGTATTATTTGTTAGTATTTCCTATGCTGCTGATTCCAGCAGTAAGATGTGAAAAACCGGATATATCCTCATTCTATGAAATAATGCTAACTCATAGTTAATTAGAGAAATCTGTTGCAAGATTTTGAATAGTTCTAACTTCTTATAATTAAGCTTATTGCTGAATCTAGTTATTTTGATATTTTTTTGAAGTAGATAGATCTTATCTTCCTTTTGTAAGATTAGTTCCTTAATTCTTTTGGAGTTTGTATACTGCATTATTCGTTCTTAAATAAATTATAATTCTAATCAGAATTTCTTTTGAACTTTCTTAATCTTCTTAACTCTTTTATTTGCAGCTTCTGTATCTGCTTCTAGCAATGCTTTGTAATAAGCTGTTAGATTATATTTATAGAGTATGAAGAATAGCGATTTCTTTATTATGCTTGTATTTACGCTATTATAAGTGAACTATATAAGAAATAATAGATCAATTCAGTTATTCTGTTCCTGATTAATATAGTATTATAAGTACTATTTAACAATTTAATTTATTCTTTTCATCTATTTATCTGTTTATAAGTAAAATGCTGTAGATATTCTGTAATATGTTTCAAGCTATTTCATAAGCGAAGTTCAAAACTTCGAATTAAACTTTCTATCTCTATTAGAAATTACTTTCTCTAGCATGCTATAATTAGCAATAATCATTCTAAGGAATATATATGCAAGTTCCTTTGCTATACTACTTTCCTTATAAAGAAGAAAATAAGTATATTTGCTCAGTTTGCAAATCATTATTAGAATGCTATTATATTGTATCTTAGTTAAGAGTTCTTATAAGAGAAGTAGCTTGATAATAAAGTTTAGACTGATGAATTGCTAAATAGTTATAAATACTAGTAAGGAATGCAGTAGTTTGTAAAGCTTGTATCTTTTCGCTTTATTCTTCTTACAGCTATTGCATTGTTATAAAATGTTTTCAATTCTTTTTCTAAAGCTTAGTAGATTCTAATATCTTTTGATATATTCATAAATTGCTCTGATTTCCTAGTATTCGTATGCAGGTATATTATATATATTCTTGATATAATTATCTTATTTGTTTAGAATTATTAATTCTGGATTTTTTCCTGAGGTTCCGATTCTGAGAGCAGTATTTAGTTCTCTATATATATTAATGAGATTTCCCAACTCGTTTTGAGCAAAGATATTTTGTATATTCAAGGAATCTGTATTTCAATAGTCTGATCTTCTGCTGAAAGCATTTGCTTGCTTATTCTCTGAGCTTTTGTAGTGCATAATCTTGAAGTTGAACTATAAGAAGAATTCTGCTTATCTAACTTATTGCTTATTCAAAATCTTAATTATTATGAATATAATTAAATTCTTGTAATTTGAATAAACTATGATTAAGTATTGCATGCTAATAAAATAGTATTACTACTCTTTAAAAGCTTTTACTATTGCTATAAGTTCCTGATTAGGGATTCTATAGTTGATTTCTAAGCTATTCAACTTTTTTAAGAAGTTGCTTATAATTCTTAAATGCTCTTAATTGTTTTGCTAATCAAGTTATTCTTTAAATATATATTCTAATGCATTAATCTTAATTTTAAAGGATTTATAGAGATTTGCTTTATATAGAACTAGCTCTAAAATAATATGCTTAATAATCTTATTAAAAGCTTCTTATATCTTGGAGATTCATTTGAAGAGCTGATTTCTTTTGGTAAGATTTGTAAGAGAATATATGATTTAGCTATAGTTCTTAATAAACTATTTATAAAAGTTGATATATTCGAGAAAAGACTTAATATTCCTAATATTCCTAGGAACTAGCTAATTCCTAATAGCTTTTATCTTGTCTTTCTGTAGCTTAATGCATTCTAGCTTAATTGTGAATTCGAGATAGTTAATCTTTTGTATATGAAAGTAACTCTTTGCAAGCTTTATAAGAAGCTTTGCATTCTAAAGCATTTGCAATATTATTCTTATATATTTCTTATATTCTTTCAATATTCGAGAGTAAATAAGAATATTATTAAGATAAGCAATAATAAACTAATTTAGATACTTATATAGAATATAATTGATTATTTCCTGAAATAAAGCTAGAGTATTTATTAAACTAAAGAGTATAATCAAATATTCGTAGTATTTATAGCATATTCTGAAAACAGTTTTCCATTCTTCTTTTTCTTTTATTCTGATTAGATTGTAAACTTCTTTTAGATTTAGAACTATAAACTATTATACTTCTTGCAGCTTATCTTATAATTTCTTAATAAGTAGTAATGAATATTGATTCTTAATTATAATATTATTGAGTTATTTATAATTAATATATAGCTTAAGCTTATTATTTTTCTTAGATATAAATAGAATGAAGTATTCTGCTGATAATTGCAATAATTATATATATTCTTTCTTAAGATTCTTATTGAGATACTTCTTAAGTATTTTTAATTATGCTTTATCTAGTTTATAAATAAGAAAGAATTTGAGCTATTTCCTTTCTTATAGCAGAATCTTGTGATTATATAAGCTATATTCTAGCAATTCTGTATTCAATTCTTTCTGAAATAGTTTCTTGAACTTATAATATTCTTATAATATATTTGCAAGTATTAGTTCTGATTTCTATATTGTTTCTGCTATCTGGAGGAATAGTAGATACTATTAAGTATGCTTCTTTTCTGATAGCGTTTTCAAGAGCCTTGAGCATTCGCTCCGAGCTGAACTAAGCGCTTGAGAGCCTAGTTTCAAGGTTTTTCTCATATAGATTCACAATCTACATTCTGAAGCTTGTTCTTATTGCTCCGGGGCGGACTAACTTGCTGAGAGTCTTGCTTCCGTTGTTTTGCTAATCTGTTAATACTCTGATACTATTTGGATTCGCTTATTACTAGATTCTTTTCCTTAAACTGCTAGCTCTGCTAACTTGAAAGTATGTATAAAGTTATATAAAGCTTCTTTTCCCGAGTATTCTTTAATTACTAGCTTCAATTCTGCGCTATTAATTATAATTATCTTTCTGAATATAGCTTATTTTTATAAGATCTGGCTAGTAGTTTAATTGATTCGAGAATTGTACTTCTTAAGCTATAGAAGCTTTATAATTAGCTTATACTGTGCTATATTTATAATATTAAAGAAAGCTCTGATTATGCATTTTTGAATTAAAATAAATAGATAATCAGTCTTCTTATTAATTACTTCTTAGTTATATGCAATAGATTATTCTTCTATAGTACTGAGAGTATATAAGCATTTCTTTCATTTTTATTATAGTTATACTTAATTGATAATATATAGAAATATAAAGTTTCTCTAAGCATTATTATTCAATAGTGCGCTATATTTATATTCTTAAATATATATATTAAACTTAATATAAGCATAATCTGTTCTAGAAACTTTATATAGAAACTGTTTCAATCTGATTATCTGCAGTCTTTTTATAAGCAATTCTATTTTTTTAAGTTTATTAAGAACTGCTTATTCTTCTAAGCTTGCTTTATTGCTTCTTAAGCAAGCTTCTTAGCTTGCTTTTGCTTGTATTATTATTATTTCTAATCTTTCTTCTATTAATACTAATTGCAAACTTTATTATTAATATAAATTATACAGAATATTATCTTATACTGCTACTATTTTATTTTCTTATTTATATATTGTATAAGGCAGTTATCTGATAGTCTGATGTATGCATTGTAATGCTATCTATTAAGAATCTTTCTAAAGCAGAATTTCTATTCTTTAATAGCTTGAAGGATTTGTTCTGATTCTCTAATAGAAAACTATTCATATTATATCTTCTTCAAGAAATACATTCTGCAGCTATAATAATTGCAGAAAATCCATGCTAATTCGTAATATAAATTGTGAAGTAAGCTGATTCAAGAGTTCTTATCTTCTTATGCTTTAATATTCTGCAAGGGAATGCAGATGAAGAGCTTTTCTAGCTCTATTTCATAAATGAGATATTCGATTCATATTGTTTTCTTATTTCATTCAATACTAAAGAGAAATCTTTCTTTAAGCTTGTTAAGTATGTTGTTTGCAGAAAGCTTCTGCAGGCTGCTAAGTTGTTTGCTCTAGCTTAATCCTTTTATTGCTTGAAAAGCATTCTTTATATTGCTTAAATATTCATATTAGTAGCTAAGAGAATATTATTTCTTATTCATATTCCTAATTATAGTGCTTAGTATAAGCAATAAAGAATATTAAAGAGTATTGTTGCTAAGCTCTTCTTTCAATACTTAAATGCTTTATTCCATAATATTAAAATAATTCAAGTTACTACTCATAGAAATGCTAAGCATGCATCTTTATTCTGCTATTGCTATTTATCTGCAGCATCTAGATTTCTAAGAAAACTATTCTAAATCTTTTTTACTCGAGAGATATATTAAGCAGTTATTATTATAGCAGAATATTCAGCTGAAACTTCTATAATCAACAGAGTTCAATACTTGCTCCGAAAGAATATTTTTGCTCAGTTGATTAGATTTCTATTATCAAGCAATATTCATTTAATATTCTTTCTAAACTAATTGCTATTTATTCTTTTAAGATTAATAGCAATTATATACAATATATTCTTATTTA